ATTTTTGGAAACGTAAAGACGCACTAACGACGACCGATGCAGGTAGCAAACGCTTGAGGAATGTAATTTGTCCATGAAGATATCTTTTCTTCTTTAGTATCAGGCTATTTTGACAGTGGTGATCGCTTTAGAAAGTTTTTTCGTGGCTGTACGTGACACAAGTCTCGTTCTTCATAGCTGTAAACTGGTATATTCTCTTTGTAGTTAAATGTAAAATACTGAAATAGGTATATGTTTGCAATTTAACGAAAGAAAGTTCTGGTAAACTGACAGAAAAATTGGTATTTTTAAATATAAATTTATATATATAAAATATTATGTATATAATACATAATATGTATTATATATTACTATAATTATGATTATTATTTCTCTATATATAAATATTGATAATAATAACTGTATATATGTTTCTATCAACATTTGATGATACAGCTAATAATACATATAATTATTATTATTATTATTATGAACATTATAGCAATAATAACTATAAAGACGGAGCTTCTAACAGTAATTATTTTACTATACAATTATAATCAGAAATACCAAACATTTTTCTCTCATTCAATCCAGTGCTGTAATAAAAAATAAATCTTTGTTCATTAAAAAGACAAGAACTGCCTTACCTGAGATTGTAAGGGTTTTTGCTTTTCAGATTTCTCTATATCAAAATTCTGGCAAATATATAAAATAGTTGACATTCTAGAAAATACGTTCATTGTCTTCTGTGAGCCAAAGACACTTGGGAAAGCGAAATACACATGTTTGAGGCATTTTCTCGCGTCTTTCAGATTCCAGATGACATGTCAATCGTCTCGCCGGTGAAAACTACAATTAGTGAATGTTTAGCTGCAGCGCAATCGTGCTCGAGGCTGTTTACAACAACAACGTGGTTAACTAAATTAACATTTTCTCCCAAATGCTGACGCACCAATTTTGAGCGACGTGTACGCGACTGTTACGCTTTCCTCGTCACGTTCTAACGCGGTCGAGCGGGCAAAAACTGGGCCGCGCCAGCTGGATGAAGCTCCATTACATGCTCCGGCAAACGGAGCAATCGAATTGACGCGGAACTTGAAGTAGCATTTCCTCGTCATCATCCGCGATCTCGCGCAGATCTCGGGTATACATATATGTATGTATAATCAGATCGGACACAGAGAATCATGGCATCCGTCTTTTATCTATGCACTGTAACAACGACCTACGATCGCCGATAGAACGAGCGATCTCTTGTGTAATGCGCCCATGTTTTTGCTTCATTAAGCAAGCTTGCTCTTTTCAACTGAACATCGTGCACCGTACATCTTCCCAGATAACAAAAAATGACCTGAAGACGTCTTACGTCACAATATTAGACTTTGTGTTACTTGAGTTAGTTGTCTCTTTTTTTCAAACACAGAGAAAAAAAAGATGAACCGTGCGAAAGTTCGGCTGACAATTTATTTTCTCGTGCACTTTATAGTCGTGATCACGATAAATGTTTCAGACATTTGCAGGGCAAATAAGGCGTACATAATCGATTCTTACATTTAAGACTGTCTTAAATAAAGTCTTAAGATTCACGAACGAATCATGGGCTTTCTTCAATAAGCTGTTACCTAAGTTTTACGTCTTAAATCAAAAGACAACAAACAATCAGTCGAGTGCGAGAAAAATAATCGATTATGATTGGTCAATTTCTTATAGCTAAAGACTTACAGCTTAGGTAACGACTTATTGAAGATTATATAGAAAGCCTATTAGAGCGCTGTATTTACATCTTAAAACATTACTTAAGAGTCTTGAAAGGCTCTTAAAATAAGAACGAATTATGACAATGGCTTTACATTTAAAAACTCGCCTAAAGGTATGTACTATATCATGCTATGATATCGCTGCGCGTTAAATATATTTTTTTAGGAGATGCGATAGTGTTCTCTTGTTAGAAAATACTCGTATCTCGTGATAAATAATATCGAACGTGATCGAATGCCTGGCCGTACGCTGCGTGGATCTCTCTTCCAGGGATCTCTCCAGCGGATTCTGCCCACTTCTGGTCAATTACGGTGGCACGCAGGAGAGACGTAGATCCATTCGCGTGGTGGATCGGCGCACACACGCTTGCACACGTTTCGTTTTTTTACAGCCACCGATGTTGCGCGGCAGAAAATCACGCGCACAGAAAATATATATGTATATCGGAGCACGGGAAAAATCAATTCTACTCACTCTCTCATTCTCCACGATACGCGACGCAAGCTGCGTGCCGAAGCCCAGCAAGGTAGCTAGAACGCAGTAGAAGGGGCTTTACGCGTAAACAATGTGCGTGTAGATAGTATATGCCACGCGTTCCCGACACCACGATGCCTTTCGTGTAACTGAAACGGACTGTGAACCGCAGCAAAGCAGAGCATCCGGCCGGTCGCCTGCCGTTACTCCCCGCTCTTTCTACAAAACGAATCTACCAAACGGGAGGACGCATGCGCGCGCTTGAAAAAGAGCGCGAAAGCCGCGAACTTAGGCACTTCGGCTGTATCACCGACGAGATACTAAGATTAAAGACCGACATTCTTATGGGAATTCGCGTTCTTGTGAATATTGAAGAGTAATTGAAGAGTTAAAACTGATAATATTGTACTTATTTTATTAGTTTAGTAGACGTATTTATGCATTTAGAACTCAATAATACTCGATTTTTCTTGAAAATTATGATTTCAGTATTATCGATTGTCGATAATGTCAGCGTTCTTCAATTACCCCCAAGCCCATGGAGCTCTTTTTATACCGTCGAGTAGAAAGATTAAATTACTAGACAAAAAATCGGGTCACAAGACGTTTCTTGCGACTGAAAGATGACTTAAAGATGTCTTATGTCATAATTTTACTTTCTGTTGTTTGGGTTTGCAACCTATTGTATAATTATTTAATATGATTGGTCTTTGCTCTTAGTTCCTCACTGGAGTTACAAATATATAAACCCATCATATGTATTAAAGAATCTTACAACAGTTGTAAAACTTCTTTTTCTGCTAAACAAAGCCATTATTATTGCTCATTACAAAATACAGAGCCTAGACATAATTAATTTGAACACCTGAGAAATATATATTACTTGGTTTATTAATGATTAAAATATGTATACAGAATAAACATAATAGAGATATTGAAGGAGGAAATTTGTTTCTTATTTTGCTCTTCAAAATTACTCGCAATGATATTTAAATCAGACGATTGCAATTGCTAGGAAAAACGTTAAAGTTTTAAAGAATAGAGGGAAATTTTTAGAAAAATAGAGAAGTAAATTTTCTTCCCTAGCATTTTCTTGTATAATTGGAAGATAGTTCTGTTAAACGAATGGTACATTTCATTGATAATTATTCAAGCATTGTACAATTCTATTCCAACAAGAATCTGTATTGAAAGCAAATGTGCGATCAGTTCCTCATTAATAAAACAAGTAAAGTATTTTCCAGATATTCACGTATTAATTTGTTCATCCTCTCTGTGTCTTTTATAATATTGTCTCAAAGATTACAGTAGGCGTATTGACAACGTTACTGTACAAAACATATTTATTTAATAATTTATAGAAATGCGCATACACAGCGTACAACGTACAAGCGTTCTTGCAGTATCGCTACTTGGTGAAAAGTCGCATTCGATTTTCTAACGATTATGTACAATCACATCTTTCATTTAGCGATCGTCGGATGAAATAGGATCGTTTGCTACTTAAGTTCCTCAAGTAAAAGAATCATCAGATTAAAGCCTGTTCTACAATAAGGCCGCAAGCCGTACGAAATTATTCAACATAAGATCGTTTATGCTTCCCCAGTCTTAATCTTAGTCACAAGAAAGTTCCTATCTTTTAATCCTTAAGATCAAGTTAGGACTAAAGCTAAAATTTTAAGCATAAACCAGGCATTACAGTTCACATAACTTGCGACCCTAATATAGAACAGGCTAAAGACATCGACTGCTTAAAATAGAGTAAGAAAGCAACTGATACCAAAATAAGTACTTTACTCATGTTTTAAACCTCTACAATACATAATGGTTTTCCTGCTGGGTTTATTGCCGTGTTGGCCATGTTATTGGTTTGATTTCAGACGGAGCGAATTTTCATGTCGTCGAGATGAGATGAATAGCTGGACCTAAAGGCCATGGCACATAGAAAAGCTGAAGACGTAAGACTTAAGCAGTAAATGAATTGATCAATCATAGTGAAGATCATAAGACCATGCCTACGTTTACATAGTTCGATTTACGCTAAAGTTATAACATCGATATTGTAAAACTAGCTAATCACAGTCATTCCATTCTTCAGAGGAATAAATAACTATGATTGATCAGTTTTATAATATCGATGTAAATCGAGCCATGTAAACGTAGCTTACATGACGTAAGCAGTAGCGAATCTAACATGATTTCTTTACTGCTTAAGCCTTACGTCTTTTTCTATGTAGGCCGTAGCCTTAACTCTGCTTGACAGAAGAGCTCGAATAAATAAATGTCAAGCCGTTGCTGTTGTTGCATATCACTAAAAAAATATAATTAAAATTTTACGTCTATTTTTTCCTTTCATTCCTTTTTCAACTAGTGGACGTCATATTTCTTTTCATTTCTTTCTATTTAAGCGAATGACATGTAATCAAAGAGAATACTTCGACCACGTGACATAGAATGCGTCCTAATTCATTCTTATAATGAGTGAGCAAAATCATGTAAGAAAAATAGCATACTTGATCTTCTAGCAAATCAGTCAGCAACGTGTCCATCTTATACGTACTATTCTGTTTTATTTATATCGCTTTCTTCTTATTACAGAACAATCAAAAGTCATCATTCAGTATTAACTTTTACTTGAGGAACTCTATTTACTACAAGCGACGAGCGCCACGCATTTTGCTCGACACGGCGCGCTATTCGATGGCGAATCATCTAAAAATATTTCGCTATCGATTAATTCTCTCTCTCTTTCTCTCTCTCATTTTTTCTTTCTTGCTTCCTCTTTTCCAATCGCGATCCGATATCGAGAGAAATTTGAGACGCAATTAGAATATGTACGGCCGCGGCGCATAAATATACAAAGTTAAAAAGACCTGACTATTCAGACCCGATTTCTTTTGTTTACCTAATACAAAGCTTGCGTCTCTCTACATACAATGCTGTTTGCGTTCTGTCAAAAATATTCTATGTACAAAGATGGGGTATGTGCTTATAAAAAGAATATACGATTTCATAAAATGAAGATCCCCGTGGCTTTATCTCGCGTCGTAAAATATAGAAAGTCTCACTCGTCCACTAAGATTCTGCGTATTAGGAGAAAAGATGGTCCGCCGAAACTTAATGCGTAGGCATCGAATCTGTACACAATGCAGTGGCACTTGAATATCTGTAAAAAGCCCGTATATATTACACACTGCGAATTGGAAATACAGATTCTCTCTTTCTTTAAGATGTCGCGATGATTTCCCGTACGAACCACATTTAAACATTATCAGACGTAGTGCGCTAATGAGAAAATCTTGAATTGTAAATAGATTTTCAACTATAAAGAGATATCTTATAATTCAACTATAAAGAGATATCTTATAATTCAACATGACAACATGATACATGACAAGAATGCTCTTTGATTCAACAGTAGGATCTCGTTATTATTAATATGCGATTTTTAATAATGAGATTCTGCTATTATTAAATATCGAATAACACGTTTCGAAGTCGGTATATCACCTTGTTTCGCAGAATCGTCATCATTTCCTAAAATTTCACACAAATGCTTTGCGAATAAACGTAAAAATAAGTACTACAACAGTTAAAATGAGAATGTAACTAGAAAAATGTACAAATAAAAGGAACGGATCCTTTGTGATTTTTGTACATTCCGAATGTAGTAAGGTTAATCTTGCATATCTATGTGTGATCTATATTGTAACCTCAAGGGTGGGTCCCGGAACCTCCATCTTGTCACATAAACGAACTTCAATGTGTGGTCTTTACCTAATAATTCGTTATTGCACAAAATATCGATCTGTCGAGAAATACAGACAAATTAATAAATAATAATTGTAACATCATCTATAATATCATCATCAAATACACTTACATCTCTATATTTTTCCATGCCATTCAAAGCTTTTTTAGCAATAAATTTTTTCATATGCGTTATCGTAGCCTGAGCTGAACACCTGATAAATCGTCTCTTCAGAATCTTCAAACTTGAGTTTGTACACTCCAAACATACGTTAACCTGCAAATTTGACACGTTAATTTTAACTGATTAAAAGTATTTTATTCTTGTAAACCTATGTTCTTGACGTTGTAATTACCTGTTCATCAGTACGATGATAATCTGATTCTGCATGTGCATCCGCATTTGCTTTTTCCTCTTCAACTTCTCCAGCATTGGGCAAAATATCTTTAGGACAAGGCAAACCTCTGGCTCTGTAAAATTCTCTTTCTCTTTTGATTTCATCTAAAATAAGAAAACATTTCTGTTAATAGTTGAAAAGAAAAATTTATGTTAAGATTAGAAAATGAAATAAAAGAGCCAAAATAAGCAAAAACAATCTTTTAACTCTGGATTATTGCTTTATAAAAACAAGCCTTAAACTTATATATTCATTGGAATAAAATTCTTACTTTCTTGGAGATCAGGAACTAATTTGTAGACAATATCCTGCATAGTTCTGTCGAAGCTGATGTACTGGAGTGGATGAGACTGATGTATGACAATTTGACATGTCGGACAGGTATGCTTTTCCTCTAGATGCTTTACCAAACAACTCTTGCAGAATGTATGTAAACATTCGGTAACAGTAGTGGCGTCAATTAAATATCCGCGGCATATCTTACACGTTATGTGACTGTTCAGAGTTTTCAGTTTTATCCTTCTTTCCATGGCATCGACAATCACCATTTAACAGAGAGATATTATCTGTAATGACGGATATAATGGTTGCATTAATTACACATATTAACATAGATATTAATAACCGTTATTGGAGCAAGAAAGTTGTTGGAATGAGAACGGATCATCACTTAAGGAAATACTAGATTCAAGAAAATGCGAACGGGTTAATCCGCTACTGTTACACGAGAACCTGCGGTTACATTTTCGGGGCGGTGTGCTAAATGTAATTGCGTGCGGAAAGTGGGTTATCGAATCCTAACCTCAATTTGAAGCTTAATCACGATGGTGCTCCGGCAGTTTTTACTCGTCGCGGATCTCTGCGGGGTGGATTCGCAAATCCCACAGCATACTTGCACCTCGATTTACGGATCAGAGCGAGTGATTTGTGGAACTAAGGGAGTTTCACTAAAAGTCTGTTTTAAAAACAACTCAATGATTAAACGTTTACTCATACGACAACAAAACGGATCAAAACGGACTGAGGAATAAAACAGACTGATCACGACGCCGCTTGCTGCGCTCGTGTCGAACGACTTGAACTTATCAAGAAGTCTGAGAGTGGATACGATCGCGTTTTAAATGTAGAGATCTTTATAAGTAGTCTATAAAGCTCTAAACAGCGACAAAAATAATGATAGTATAGAAATAAGCTGATACAGCACAGAATTTGCAGTAATATCGCTGCAAAATCTCTGCAATATTAATTTATAGAAATTAATGAGATTGTAGAAAATCTTATCTGTATTTTAACACCGACGAGATATTATTAAAGACCGGCATTCTTACGGGAGTTCGCCTTGTGAATATAGAATTGAAGTAATTAAGAGTTAAAAACTGATAATATTGTACTAATTTTATGATTTATTAGTTTAGTAGACGTATTTATGCATTTAGAACTCAATAATACTCGATTTTTCTTTAAAATTGTGATTTCTGTGTTATCATCAAAGTTTGATTATCAACAGAGATGATAACTGCAGAGAAAAAAATTGAAATTTTTCTGCAATATATAGAATATTATAGTTTCACAAATATGCATATTTATTTATGGAATATTTATGTAATAAAAAAATCATGAATTTAATAATGTATGAGCCAAATGTTTATGTTAATAATAGCAAATTTATATCAATTGTCGATAATGTCAGTGTTCTTCAATTCCGGACCCTTGGAGCCCTTTTTGTACCGCCGAAAATTTACCCAGGGTTGACAGTTTTTAATAATATCGTCGGTGATTTTAACAAAGAATATAAAATTATATAAACAACCTTAAACATTCATATCATATAAAAAAATTCAAGAACGTTTAAAATTATTTTTGTTAGTACGCGTTGGAAGTGCACTAACAGTTCGATAGTAAATAAATATCGAATAAATTAATCAAGTATATCTATTTACATTATTCTGAAAAAATTTTCGGATATAGCCCTTATTTTCTCGTCATTTTAGATACGCTTTAAATAAATTGGCATTTGATTATATTATATTTTAAAAACAATGATTTGCGAATTACGATCATATTTGCTCTGCGGTATGATAATTCTCTATTAATCTTAATTTAGTTCACAATCAGTGTTGTGGTAAGTACAACGGCTTAAAGTTTTATAAATGTCATTGCCATATTTGGAACTTTTCGTGAAAAGTGTACATTAAGCTTGTATTCTACCGAACATGTTGTTGATATTATTTGAAAAGAATAGACAAACTGACTGGCTTTACGTCACCTAATGCTTAGTTTAGACTGGACGCAGCAAATGTCAAGCAGAGGAACAGTAATCAATTAGTGATGCAATATTTACAGTGCCGTAAAAGTCGCCTCGCTGGTTAGTTGTTGCTTAACGCTTGTTGCGTTCAATTTGCATTAGGCATCATATATAGTATAATACGTACATACAATAGGAAATTGTTGAGATGACATTTTGTATTTATTATACCGAATCCGTTACGGACAATTATTAGTCAACAACGACTTCAATAAAGTAAGATCACAGCAATCGAAAGCATATTACTAATATTCATATTTAGTTTCGTGATAATTGTACCAAATATACAAATTATTTTCGAAAATTATATCTTAATAACAATTTTAATAAATAGGGTAAGTTTCCAAAGACACAATACTTTCTTTATAGTTTGTTTGACTTAAATGTACTTATAGACTAAATCATTTATTTATAATAAATTTATTGAACTTTTTTTTGAATAACTACTAAGTTACTTTGTGTAAAAAGATAATTTTATTTTGTATTAATTCAATACAAGTCTTAAATAGTTTTTTTTATTATGTTTCACAGTGTATTTAAAGAATTTGCATGTTTATATTTTATTAAAATCTTATAAGGTATTTTAAAATAAATTCAATACATTTGCAATAAAGCGTAATTTTTTATTCATTAGAGGATGTGTTGCACTTGATGTTCGTAATGTCCGCGAGTAACATTTCGTGTCAAATTTAACATTTGAGATAAACAATAAGAATAAAAAAAATAATTCTACTCTTTTTCTAAGCAAGATTAGTTATGACATGATTCTATCATTTAAAAACTTATATTTCAAAATAATTGACAGTTCTAAAATATTCATGCATATATTAATAATAATATATTTGAATATTTTGAGAAAAAAACATATAAAAAAAATAAGAATAATGTAACAAAACATTATTTAAATGTACTGTGAGATGTAAAATTTTAGATAACATAATATCTAAACAGTCGCAAAAAAAAGTAAGCACTTTTTTGGAAAATGACATTTCAGTAATATAATTATCACAATTACACTAATGTTAGAAATATTATTAGAATTAAAAACATTTAGTCATTTAAAAGTTGTTGGCTATTTTTATGTAAGAAATCTTTATGTTCTTAATTTTACAATTTTTTACATAACGATTCCTATAATTTGTAGAGCTAAATGCTAATAATTGTCATAATATTATATTAAAAAAAAAATATTCTGACAGGTGCTTGGAAGAAAAATTTATGAAATATGAATTTGGCACAGATAAGTAGGAGTATGATATTTATTACTATGATAACTGTTCTTGCTGGTGAACATGTATTTTATTCCAATAATCCAAGGGATTTCCATTTACCGTCCTATATAATACCAATACATTATCATGTAAACTTATTTCATCTATATACACACGGAAATTCTATTTGGGAAGAAACATTAAATATAAATTATGAAAACAACAATTTTATATTTACTGGGACATCCAATATAACTATCAATATTCTTCAGTCAACACATAATATAAGATTATATTCATTACATCCGATTGTAAATAATGACGAAGTGACATTGATTAGAAGCGACGGTAAAATTTATCAGATGATCGAATATGCATCGGAAGCAAATATTATCGATTTCGATTTTGGCGATGTTTTAACTCCCGAACTTTACACTATAAAAATACAATTCTTTGGTCAACTTCTGAAAAAACATGCTCAAAATTTGTTTGAATATTTCGACAGTAACGATAAAAAGAACATAATGTAAGTGAATGTTCAACAGTTGACTATAGTTCTATAATTGAACATTACGGAACTAGGTATATACATATACCCATAATTTCGTAATGTTATTTATAATATAAGTAGATATAACCATTATTTATTCTTTTTAACAAATTTTTTTCTGCATGACATATTGAAAGAAAATTAATTAGAGCAAACACGACTTGCAATGTACAATCTTATAACAGTTCTTAATACCTCGTAAATCCAACAATACAGCTAGAAATTTATAATTAGGCAATATTATTTAAGACAATTATATAAATTGTTATTTATTGTAGATGGTTAATTGCACCAACTGTCCAAGCAACTGGACTCGGTCAATTGTTTCCTTGTTGGAATGAGGCACATTTAAAAGCCACGTTCAAAATGTCTATGAACCATCATCGCAATTATACTGCTTTATTCAACATGCCGGTACAAGCCCATGACAATTATGATAAAAATTTTTTGTGGACACACTTCCATGTTACTCCCCCAATATCCATTTTGCAATTTGCTATAGTTTTGACCACTTTCCCTCGAATTCGTATTAACGAAAACATCACATTGTGGTGCGAAAAATGCTCAAACGAACAATCTGTCAACTTAGAGTTCGTAAAGGTTTTCATAAGAACTGTCACATTGCATTTGAAATCTGAATTTAGTGAAATAAATATTCCAAAAATGGATCACATTGCAATTTCAAATTTTTCATATAATATCACGTCTAAATGGGGATTAATCATTCATAGGTATACATATTTATATATACACACACACACACACACACACACACACACCGCGCGCGCGCGGGTGTATACAAGCACACAGTGTTAAATAAGTTATTTATTTATATCATTTCGAAATTTATATCTTTGTATTTTCATATAATTTTCAATTAATTGGAAAGAATAAATAATATAATAAACAAATAGTATTATTAAATATTAGATAACCATTACGCTTTATCGGAAACAGGAAAAATTCGATAATTATGCACTTTAAGAAGTACTGCACTGATGACATTGACATATATTGTCAAGATTATAATTTTAAGTGATCAGCAGCTTGAAGATGGCGATCGCTGTTTATTAAAAAGTTATTGACAAAAAAAGTTTGAAAAATGTGTTCTTTTTTTATTGAATGAAACAGAAAAATTTCCTGCTTTAAAATATATCTTACAATTTTTCAAAACTAGTCATTTTCAAGCTGTGTCTGTGGACACTTTTGATCAGTGAGGCAAAAACTATTATATAACGTAATAAAGTTTCAGCCAATTTCACCAAGGGTCAAAATCCTATGATTTTGTGAGCAATGCATTCTGTTTCATATAATAAAAAAATTGAGACACCATTTTCCAAATGTTTTTTTGTTAATAACTTTTTAACGAATAGCGGCCGCTACCTAAAAATTGCTAGAAGTCACTCAGGCTTATTATCTTAATAACATATGTCAAGGTCAAGATAATCGGTGCAGTGTCCCTTAAAATGCACAATTACAACATTTACTATTTTTGCAAAATTAATTTAAAAAATAGATACTTAACAATATACGACACATTTAATATCGAAATAGATTTAAAATTTAAATAAATACGATTTAACTTATTACACACATTAAAATATACTTTTTTTTTTATCTAAAAAAATAAGCGAACATTTTGCATATGAGAATAATGTCTTTTAGAGAAGCAGATCTAATCTATGATGAACAAATAGATGCAGTTATGCGCAAGATTCAAATCGCACGTTTAATAGCACCTAAAATAGCATATCAATGGTTCAGTAACGTACTCAGCACATCTTGGTGGTCTCATTTTTGGTTGCACGACGGTCTTGCTACTTTATTTGGAGAAGAAGCTATTGTTAAGGTTTTTACATTTATCTTACAATGGTTTGCACCATATTTGTTTTGTAAAATATAAATGCCAATTTTCAACACTTTTTCAAAACTTATCGAAAGAAAATTTAAAGTATATGCCAATC